TATGAGGAGGGGGGAGGAGGCCCAGTGGCGAGCTATGGTGGGAGGATGTGGTCTGAATCGGGGAGAAGGGGGCGGGGGCGACGGCGGCGGCGGGAATGGATCTCCTCGCCGCGGCGGGATGGGGAAGGAGGGGGCAGCGACGGGGGGCCGTCGTTGTTGGTCGTTGCAGGTACAACTACCAACCAACATGTTGCCAAATGTGTGTGTCCTACTTATGATTGGCTACTGGCACAACTTGCAATGCTATGTTCAGATCATAAGACTGATTTGGCAACTGCCACTAATCCAGTGCTATGATCTAAACATAGCAGTGCAAGTTTCGCAACTTGCGAAAGTTGCATTGCTATATTTAGATCAAAGCATTTGGCAACTACCACTGATCCGGTGCTATGATCTAAAACACACCATTGCAAGTTTAGCAACTAGCACTGATCAGTGGGAGTTGGCCAAGTGCAAGTGGAACTGATGAGTGGCACTTGCACTTAGGCAACTACCACTGATCAGTGCCAGTTGCCAATGATCATCTCACTGATCATTTGCAACTGCCAACCATTAGAGGCAGTTGTCAATGCTCTGTTACTAACATAAGTCATCTTACCTGACAAGATCATGAATACGGAGAAGGACGTAGGTGGTGGAGGAGTGCAGGTCGTCCCTGGCACCGAGGATTGGATCCGGACGAACCGGTGGTTCAAGAGGGTGAACCTTCCTAGTAGGGTCGCTGCCATGAGCCAGCCATGGTCATGGGGATGAGCACCGACGATCGGCCACGAGGAGGGGGCACAAGATCTGTTCCGTTTCTACGTTCAGATTAAGGACATGGAGAAATGATAACCCACAAGTATAGGGGATTGCAACAGTTTTCAAGGCTAGAGTATTCAACCCAAATTTATTGATTCGACACAAGGGGAGCCAAAGAATATTCTCAAGTATTAGCAGCTGAGTTGTCAATTCAACCACACCTGAAAGACTTAATATATGTAGCAAATTATTTAGTAGCAAATTAGTATGGCAGTAATGGTAACAGTGGCAAAAGTAACAATAGCAGTTTTGTAATAATAGTAACAGTGGCAGCAAAAAAGTAACAAAACAAAGATCAATATGAAACAAGCTCGTAGGCAATGGATCAATGATGGTAATTATGTCGGATGGCATTCATCATGCAACAGTTATAACATAGGGTGACACAAAACTAGCTCCAATTCATCAATATAATGTAGGCATGTATTCCGAATATAGTCATACGTGCTTATGGAAAAGAACTTGCATGACATCTTTTGTCCTACCCTCCCGTGGCAGCGGGTCCTAATGGAAACTAAGGGATATTAAGACCTCCTTTTAATAGAGAATCGGACCAAAGCATTAGCACTTAGTGAATACATGAACTCCTCAAACTACGGTCATCACCGGGAAGTGTCCCAACTATTGTCACTCCGGGGTTGCCGGATCATAACACGTAGTAGGTGACTATAACTTGCAAGATACGATCAAGAACACAAATATATTCATGAAAACATAATAGGTTCGGATCTAAAATCTGGCACCCAGGCCCTAGTGACAAGCATTAGGCATAGCAAAGTCATAGCAACATCAATCTTAGAACATAGTGGATACTAGGGATCAAGCCCTAACAAAACCAACTCAATTACATGGTAAATCTCATCCAACCCATCACCGTCCAGCAAGCTTACAATGGGATTACTCACGCACGGTGGTGAGCATCATGAAATTGGTGATGGAGGACAGTTGATGATGACGATGGCGACGATTTCCCCTCTCCGGAGCCCAAAACAGACTCCAGATCAGCTCTGCCGAGGAAGAACAGGAGGTGGCGGCGGCTCCTTATCATAAAACACGATGAATCCTTCTCTCTAATTTTTTTCCTCCCCGAACATGAATATATGGAGTTGGAGTTGAGGTCGATGGAGCTTCGTGGGACCCACAAGATAGGGGGGCGCCCAGGTGGGTAGGGCGCCCCCACCCTTGTGGACAGGTGGTGGGTCCCCTCTGGTTGATTCTTCCGCCAATATTTTTTATTTATTCCAAAAATAATCTCCGTGAAGTTTCCGGCCATTCTAAGAACTTTTATTTGTGCACAAAAATAACACCATGGCAATTCTGCTGAAAACAGCGTCAGTCCGGGTTAGTTCCATTCAAATCATGCAAATTAGAGTCCAAAACAAGGGCAAAAGAGTTTGGAAAAGTAGATACGATGGACACGTATCAACTCCCCCAAGATTAACCGATTGCTTGTCCTCAAGCAATTCAGTTGACAAACTGAAAGTGATAAAGAAAAACTTTTACAAACTCTGTTTGATCTTGTTGTTGCAAATATGTAAAGCCAGCATTCAATTTTTCAGCAAAGATGATGAACTAACGATATTCACAATAGCATTTAGGTCTCACATTTACTCATATCACTGGCATAATCAACTAGCGAGCAATAATAATAAATCTCAGATGACAACACTTTTTCAAAACAATCATAATATGATACTCCCTCCGTTCCTAAATATAGGGTGTATAGTTTTTGGCATGGAAATTAAAGAATGCACGTGGAGGGAAAATTTCACAAGTTATGGGCGAGATTACACCTGACTAATTGGCATGAGAAAATAAAGAAGCTTGCCTAATATAAGGAAATGTAATCGAATCACGAAAAAATTATCCATACGAGTGGTGCAACTCAATACACCTTATATTTTGGGTTTTTCCTCAAAAATATATACACCTTATATCAAGGAACGGAGGGAGTATAACAAGATGGTATCTCGCTAGCCCTTTCTGAGACCGCAAAACATAAATGCAGAGCACCCTTGAAGATCAAGGACTGACTAGACATCGTAATTCAAGATAAAAGAGATCAAGTCACAGTCATACTCAATATAAATTAATAACAATGCATAGAAATGACAGTGGTGCTCTCTAACTGGTGCTTTTTATAAAAGGGTGATGACTCGTCAATAAAACTAAATAGATAGGCCCTTCACAGAGGGGAGCAGGGATTTGCAGAGGTGACAGAGCTCGAGTTTTTGAAACAGAGATGAATAATATTTTGAGCGGTATGCTTTCATTGTCAACATAACAACCAAGAGATCTCAGTATCTTCCATACTAGATACATTATAGGCGGTTCCCAAACAGAATGGTAAAGTTTATACTCCCCCACCACCAACAAGCACATTCCACGGCTGGTCCGAAACAACGGGTACCGTCCAACTAACAACATTCCTGGGGGAGTTTTGTTTGCAATTATATTTTGATTTGATTTGAGCATGGGACTGGGCATCCCGGTTACCAGCCATTTTCTCCTGAATGATGAGCAGAGTCCACTCATCGTGAGAATAACCCACCTAGCATGGAAGATATTTACAGCCCTAGTTGCTACATGAGCGATTCGAGCATACAAAATAGATTATCATTTGAAGGTTTAGAGTTTGGCACATGCAAATTTACTTGGAACGGTAGGTAAATACCGCATATAGGTAGGTATGGTGGACTCATATGGAACAACTTTGGGTTTATGGAAGTGGATGCACAAGTAGTAATCCCGCTTAGTACAAGTGAAGGCTAGAAAAGGACTGGGGAGCGACCAACTAGAGAGCGACAACAGTCATCAACATGCATTGAGATTAACCAACATTGAGTACAAGCATGAGTAGGATATAAATCACCATGAACATAAATATCGTGGAGGCTATGTTGATTTTGTTTCAACTACATGCGTGAACATGTGCCAAGTCAAGCCACTTGAATCATTCAAAGGAGGATACCATCCTATCATACTACATCACAACCATTTTAAAAGCATGTTGACACGCAAGGTAAACCACTATAAACTCCTAGCTAATTAAGCATGGCATGAGCAACTATAATCTCTAATTGTCATTGCAAACATGTTCCATTCATAATGGGTTGAACCAAGAATGATGAACTAATCATATTTACAAAAACAAGATAGTCGAGTTCATACCAGCTTTTCCTCATCTCAATCATTTCATCCTATATCATCATTATTGCCTTTCTCTTGCACGACGGAATGGTGTGGATAATAATAATAATAGTGCACATGCATTGGACTAAGCTGGAATCTACAAATATTTATTCAAAGGAGAAGACAATGTAATATGGGCTCTTTGTTAGATCAACAATAATGCATATGAGAGCCACTCAACATTTTCATCATGGTCTTCTCCTCTCAACCCCCAAAGAAAAGAAAAGAATTTCAAAGTAACACACTAAAATGTTTTTGGAGTTTTTCTTTCTCCGAAGAAAGTAAAACAAGAACGAGAAATATTTTTGGGTTTTCTTTAATACTACAACTAATTATGGAAAGTAAACTAAGCATGAGCTGCAACTATTTTTTTGGTTTTTCTCAAAGTTTTTCAAACACACAAGAAGAAAGCAAGAAAAAGAAAATAAACTAACATGGATTATACAATGAAAAAGTATGAACACCGACAACTGAAATGAGTGTGTGAACAAGAATGTGATGTCGGTGAGAAATACTTACTCCCCCAAGCTTAGTCGTTTGGCCTAAGTTGGTCAAGATTTGGGGTTGTACTAT